ACTTGACGTCACTGTCTCATTCTTTTTTGACATACCCTGTGGGAGGCTTAACTCCCACTTATCACTGTTTCTTCTAAAACAAACATTAGAGGTCATGAATTTCTCCCAACATACTGCTTTAGTTTCCTTGCACAAATTTTGGTACGTAGAGTTTTCATTGTCTGGTTTTAAATACTTTTCTAATTTTAATTATGATTTCTATTTTGTCTCATTTATAACTTAGAAATTTCCAGAACTATAGGTTATGCTCCATTCTTGTTCTTGATTGCTAACGTAATTTCATTTTAGCCAGAAAGTGTGATTTTTTTTCATAGACTTGCTTTGTAGCCTAAGTCCTGAATTTTTGTAAATGATTTCATGACTACTTCAAAAATAATTTCTGTTCTCTGTTTGTTAGGTCTCAGGTTCTCTTCATGTTTGTTAGGTCAGATCTGTTAATTGTGTCTAAGCCAGGGTTGGGTCAGGGTTAATTTTGATCTGCCTGACCTCTCAGTGTGGAGAGGCAGAGTCCCAGGATGGCAGAGCTCCTGTGTCCCCTGCCTTCCACCCATCGCTGCTGTGCTGTGCAGGCTGTGGCTTGGCTACATGCAGATTTGGAGTCCGGGTTCCCGGTGCAGGTTCTTCCTTTGCGGTTATGTCGTTTTGCCCACTCATGTTTTCGCCCTGACCAGGCTTTGTTTGAAACTAGCGTGGGCCACGGTTTTCTGTGGTTAGTATTTGCCTCTTAACATCTTTTCCCAAATGCAGCCCTTTTTTGTCATAGTGAGTGTTTCTCACCAGTAGCCTCACAGGGCTAGGAGTGTGCCTCACCGTCTGAACACCTGGCCCTCGTGTGGCAGGACGCTCGCGGGCATGCTATGCGAGACCACCGACTTGCGAGAGGTTGTAGCTTTCGTCCTCGTGCGCTTGGGGCCCAGGAGCCAGCCCTCTCTACCCAGTGGGCCCTTGATATAGGTTGTACTTGGATTTCCAGTTAGTTTTTGAAAGGACACCCCCGCCCCACAGAGGGACAGAAACAAACCTTCAGGAGCTTTGCTTCGTAAGGGGGGCTTTGGGATGAAGCACACGTGGATTATTTTTCGAATTAGGAGTAGTTTTACTGTTTTTCACGTGTACACCCCCTGAATTATGAAGATAACAGATTTTTATTAAAACCGTTGAAGTAGTTGAGGAAAGTATAAGAAAGAAACAGTCCGCCTGCTCAGTGTGCGCATCCCAGAGGGAGACAGTTGGCGGGAGGGGAATAAGTGACGGGGGTGGGGCGCACGGGCTGTGGTTCGTGGTCTTACGGAGTCATCTGTGGAGACTTCTTTCTGTGCAAGTGAGCAGTGGTATTAGCACATGAGCACATGACTCTAAGAGCGTGTTCATTGCCTGGGAGGCATTTCAAGTTCTGTTGGATTTTTTTTCTATCTTTGCCTTTTAGGTCAGATTAACCACTTCTGACTGAGGTTAGGTGGAAGCTCCTGAGTTTCACGATTAAGTGGACTTTGAAATGTGGAAATTCCCTTTGCACTTACGCTGAGGTCTCAGCAGTCCTCTGTGCTTGCGGGCATCCTGCTCTGTGGGGCCTCACGGAGTCTGTGTTCTCACAGAGGAGAGTTATGGCAAGTCTGCTGGCACTGTTTTCCCACTGGCGCTGTTGTTAGCTGAGGTGTGTGCGTTGTGTTTAGACACGACGCCGTCGCACACTTGGGAGACTGCGGGTGACGCAGGCGTGCCTTTACGCTCTGCGAGACCAGAACGTGCTGGGACTGGCTCTGCTGCAGCGATCTAGGGCTAACCTGCAGCGTCTGTGAGGTGCGCCTGGGGTCGGAGCTCGGATGCGGCTCCTGCGAGCCATGTGGGAGTAGAGGGTGTGCTGCATGTTTTCGTTTTCAGCAGCGTGAGAAGTGGTGACAGAGCCTCTTGTGACTCAGGTGCGAGGTCACCAGAGCGACACCAGTGCAGTGTTGGTCTCACATATAAGCACTGTTTGCCTTGTAGTTTTAGGCTGAATTCATTAAGAAACATTGTCAAACCTGAAAAAAAATACAGAATCAATGTTTGATGACAGTGGTTGAGAAGAGGTTTTTCTTAAACAGAAAATTTCAGTTTCAGCCATTGAGTTTTTTAAAAAATCACGGTAAAAGTTTCCCCTGTCACACTGTTAAACTGCCGTGTCGTAGGGCAAGCTGGGAGGTTTCACTTCTATTTCTGACAAAAATCCGTGGAGCTGGTGGTGGCAGAGTCCACGTAGCACAGGGAGTCCTGCTGCTCTCTCCATAACGCGCAGCAGGCAGCGCACTCTGCATGGAGTGGCAGGGAGCAGCCGTAGCCTGCACACACCTCCTGCAGCCCCACGCCGTGCAGGCTTTCCAGCTGAGCCTCCTGACCTGCACACGCTTTGGCATCGATTGTGCACATCTCAGCAGATCCCACTTCAGGCTGAATGGAGTCCGGTGTTCCCTCGGCTGCTTTGGCATTGACCTCAGATGTAGCTGTCCCACGTAGGCAGTTCACAGAGGCCGGCTCATGAGTCCTTTCGGGCTCAGTGGTGGCTCTTGAGTAAAAGACAGGAACTGAGCAGCGCTGGCTGCTCCAGGGGCCAGTGGGAGCCCAGAAGCACTGAGCTGCTGGCGATGGATGGCATGCTCCCCACCCTCTACGCTGTAGCCACTGTTCCTGCCAAGAAGCTAATAGTCTTGAGCAAGTTTATCTTCCAGGGACACGTAACTAAGTGCTGCAGACGTGTGATTTAACTAACTCACCATCAGTGGACAGCTTTCCTTGCTGGACTGGAGATTGAGCCCCTTGGAAGCGTCCCTGGCGTGAAGGTGACTTTCATTTTGTGAAGCATTCTGCCATGATGAGATTTCCACTTCAGTCTCTCACATTGGGAACATTGTGGTGAGCGCCGTCCAGTACGATGCGTGTTCTTTTAGCACGGCTGTGTGTCCATCTGTCCAGCAGCAAAGAGCCCACGCGCCACCACGCCTTGGAAGCCCGACATTCAAGGCCCAGTTCTCCCTTCTTCTCGTGCGCTGGGCGAGTGCGCTGGAATGGGAATGTTGCAGCGAGATGTCCCAAGTGTGTGGCATGTGTGTGCTTGGCCCGGGTCTGGCCCCGCCGGGTGCCCAAGGTGCTGCCGTGGCCGCACAGGCACTGTTGTCCAGACTGAGTTCCAACAATGTGTTCCTTATGGACGCTGACATTTGAATCTCATGCAGTTTTCATATTTCACAAAAATCTCTTAACGTATAAACCATTCTTAGCTCACGAGCTGTGCAAATCGGGCAGCGGGCTGCACGTGGCCCATGGGCTGCAGTTGCTGAGCGGCTTCCCTCCAGGGCCAGCCTAGGGCCTTTTTCTCATCCCCCTTGTGGTCCCTCCTTGTTCGCGCTCAAACGCCCTATCGGAGCCCCCTGCTGTCCTCCTGGGGCTGCTCCTGTCTGGGTCCTGGTCTGTTTGCAGTGGACTCCAGCCCGAGTCTGAGCCCCTGGGAGCAGGTATGTGTCTGTCCCCCTCATGTTCCTGCCCCAGCCCAGGCCTGAAGAGGTGATAGCCCGGGGGACCAGGACACCAGCCTTCAACGGTTGTCATCCATAGTGCCTCCAGGGTTTCAGGGGCGCCTGGTGGCGGAAAGATGGCGTTCCTCAGTGCTGAAGGAAGAGGTGTGTATTAGCTGGGCCACCGTGGACACAGGAGTGGTGGGGTGGCTGCAGCCGTAAGTTCGTGACAGCCCTGTCTCTGAAGCGCTGTCCGCAGCCGCAGGAGGGTGGGTGGGGGGGCTAGGTGCATGCGTCACTCCTCGAGTCCCCAGCTTCTCGTCCTGTGGCACAGTCATAGTTGTTATGTGTTTGAAGGTACTGACCACCCGTCCACGTTAACATTAGCCATTCATCTGGTCAGCTTCTTTTTCAAATGATGACATTTTCATTAGAGACGCACATTAGTTGCCAAAAATACGTGTGACCACACAGAAGGATTTAAAACCCACTTGCTGCTCTGCTCCCAGTTTTGTGTACTTGCTTTGTGGGGTTTGTCCCCACAGCTGCAGCTCCGCTGAGCACCCGCGACCGCCCACTTCTGGACACACGGGCTGCTTCTGGTGCACTTGATAATGTGAAGTTTTTAGTCCCTGTTTACTAAATTCTTACATGGTTGGGTCAATATTTGGGCTTTCTGTTGCATTCCAGAATCTGTCTCTTCCTCTGCCAGTCCTTTATCGTTTTAATTATGTCCCTTGATAACGTGTTATATCCAGTGAAATGAATTGTCTCTCCAACTGTCTGTCATCCCTGAACTTCCCTTAATTATTATTAAATGTTTGTATTTGGTGTTAAGTTTCCAAACATTCTAACTTTTTAACTCATTCCTTCCTATTGGAAATTTTACTAGAATTATATGAAATTTATTAGCTAATTTACAGAGAAATATCTTTATATAGCTTAGGAATTACTGAGTTTTCGCATCCACAATTTTTGTGTTACTCTGTTACATATTCAGGTTCCTTTATGTACCTCAATAAAAATTTATAGTTTTATTCATATTGACCCAACATATTCCATGTTAATTTATGGCTAGGACTTTTATTTTTGTTGCTCCTGCCATCATGAGCATGAACTGTGCTTATACCTACTTACTGCTGACACACAGAAGAGCTGTTGACTTACTGATACATGCGATTATTACATCAGTCTCTCTTAATGCTTCTGATAGTTTTTCAGCTGATTATTTTAGTTTTTCTGGGTTGACAGCTAAAAATAATTTTATCTCTTCTTTTCAAATATTTGTATCTCTTGCTTTTTTAAAATTCTTCTCGTGCTGACTAGTGTTTCTAAAATCATTACACACTGGTAGTGAGAGTGACTGTTCTCACCCTGACTTTAATGGGTATGCTTCCAGCCTTTTACTGCTGAATATTGTGAAGGCCTGGGGTTTTAATATGGATATTCTTGATCAAGTTAAGTAAATTTTCTTTCGCTTTTGTATTACTGAGAGTTTTAAAAATCCTAAGCAGATATTAATCTGATCACGTGCCTTTGGGCATCTGGCAAGATAATCACCCACTCCCTTGTCTCATGGATATTGAAGGGCTGCTGTGTCCAGGCCCTGCCCTTAAGCTCACCGTCCCCAGGAGGGAGTTTCTAAGCCTGCTTCCTCTCAGGTCAAATGGTCACGTCTGTTTGAAGCTGTGATTCTCACTAACCCGCAGCTCTGCCCTTAGGACAGTGGCCCCAGTTCCAGTCATCTGAGCTCCATTCATCTGAGTCAGTGTCCTCGCCTGCCCCCCAGCCACTGGATGGGGCCAAGGTGGGGCTGCCCTGTGGGAGGACTGGGGGTCTCCAGTCTCTACCACATGGGCCATGAGCCAGGCACTGAGGTGGGTAGTGAGGACCCAGGAAATACTCGTCTGACCAGATGAAGGGGACAGCTTTGTGGGCAGCACCCACGTTCAGAAAAGTGGAAGGAAGGCTTATGACTTTAAATGCGTCATATATGAAAATGTCTGCCATGCACTTACGCCTCCCTCCCTTCTGCTGTGTTTCAGCTCCTCGCCCTCGGGAGCACTCCTGGAGAAGGACTGTGAGGTTTACCGGGACTACGGCGCAGATGGCCACCTTCCTCACTGCAGGTAGAGCCCCACCTCAGGCTTGGCCCTGTCTCCAGCCCAAGGGTGGTTGTCTGGCAACTTGTGGGCGAGCTGAGAAGAGCCTGGCTCAGCCAGGAGCAACTAGCTGGCCATGCACCGTGCGCAGGGGAGATGGACGCCTGGGCAAAGTGGCCCCCAGGCTGGCATGGCAGTGACCGGTCCTAGAGGACCCTTGTCACTGCCCAGGTGGGAGTTGTTGAGTCCAGGGTGCTGCCCCCAACCCTGGGCAGACTCCCTGGGGGCCCTTGGCGTGAGGTCTCCCCAGGAGCTCCGGGCTGCACATCAGGTGCTTCCTAGGCAATGCTGGGAAGACTGGTGTCGGTCAGTGAGAGGGAGTCAACTGTGGCATCTCCCGGCCCCCGGTGGGCCTTGCTGGGCATTGGGATTTCCAGAGGCCCTTGGGACCCCAGGCACAGCGGCCATCAGGCTGGGCAGGGGCCCCTCTTGGTCAGCTGTATGTCCACCTGGAGCAGGCACCTACTCCTGCAGCTTTGGGTGGCCAGGCCAGGGCTGGGCCCCTGGTGGCCAAGGGACCCCCCCAGCACAGACCAACAGCAATAACACATGTTGGGGAGGAATTTGAAGACGTGAGGAGCATTTGGCAGTTTGTGCAGACAGTTTAAAGGTCAAGCTTGAAAGTGTTGTCTGGGCTTGTGGGGAAAGGAATCGGAGCTGCCTGGGCCCAGCTGTGGGGCTATGTGACCGCGGGCGTGTTTCGTAGCCTCCCGTGCTTCTGCATTCTCATTAGGCCCCACTGCAACCACCCTCCAGGCCAGCTCAGGTCCCCAGATGTGGCGCCTTCTGTGTGCTAAGCCGCTCTCTGGCAGGCTGCCCGTCACAAGCCCTGGGCCCTGCAGGATGTGCGTGCTGCCTGGTCATTGGTGGCCCAGCGCTGCCCTGGCCCTGCCATCCTAGGTGCCACCTGGGCTGCACGTGAGGCCACACCCTCACAAACACAGTGGGAAGGACAGGGAGACTGGCGTCTATGGACAGACAAGGTCTGCAAGGATGGGGAAGGCTGTGTGCTGGGCAGGGCCCCCACAGGCGCATCGGTGGCCTGACGTTTACACGGTTCAGGCTGCTCCTCGTGGGGTCTCCTTGTTCCGCGTGAGCAGCACTCACTCACTGGTGTGAGGCTGCCTCCTGAAACCCGCCTGTCAGGCCATCTCTCCTTTTCTCGCCTGCTCCTTCGGGCATCCACATGCCCAGCAGCACTTCCCTGAGGTGGTGGCATTGGAGAAGGGCTCTCTCCAGCTTTGGTTTCAGTGTCTCCATTTTTCTTTTGAAACCCCCCTGAGCTAAATGTCCCAGCACCAGTGCCCGGCTTCCAGCATTCCCAGAGGCTGTGGGAGGCCCTCCTCCTTCCCTCGGGGTTTGGAAGCATCCTCTGAACTGCTGCATGGGGCACCGTGTGGTCTTTTTGAGGGACAAATGGTCTCTTTCTGCTGTGGTACCTCCACCCTAGCAGAGTCACAGAGAATCACGATGAGAGGAGACGGAGAGGCTTCCTGGGTTTGCAGAGCTCTAAGGAGATAGAGGTCAGAGGGCAGGTAGAGGCTGGACGAGGTGGAAGGGGTGCCGCTCAGTGGCCTCAGCGGGGGCAGGCTGAAGAGACTCTGGACAAGAAGCAGACAGCAGGGCCTGGAAGCTGGTTGCAAGGGTTTGGGGGAGGGCTCCCAAGAGAAGGCAGAGCATGGGATCTGGTGGGAAGGCAGGGCGTGGAGCTGCAGGGTGAGAGGGCAGCTGCCTGCACAGGGGTGGGGGGCGAGGCCCTGAGGGATGCAGTGAGAGAGATGCCTTCCCAGACCAGAAGATCGTGGACATCCAACAGGGCTGGGCCCCTGGGGGCATGTTTCCCCATAAGACACGGAGCCCACGACTCCGGGCCTGCCTCGAGGATCAAGTGAGACTCCCGTGGATGCCCTCCACACAAGGGTGCTGTCTCTTGGCGACTTTCTCCTGCCTTGGTCCGTCTCTGCCCTGACTCCTGGAAGTGCTCTCAGGTCCTGGGATAGATGTGTCTGACACTCTCCCACCCTTCTCATCCCACAGTGTGGCTATGTTGGCCCATGACTGGCCAGCGAGGTGCCTCCTCCAGCCGGAGCTCCGGCAGCCTTCACAGGCAGGGTCGCTCTTTCCAGTGCAGCCGCCGCTGAGGGCCTGGCATGGGGATGGGAGCACTACTGCTGAGTGGTGAAAAGATGTGCAGAAATAATGGTTCCCACCTGCTGAGTGTTTCCTGGGTGTCACTTCTCAACTGAGAACTTTATTTTATGCACATTATGTTACTCAGTCCTCGTGAGAACCAACGAGGACTCGGGGACAGAGATGGGAAGGGACCCCCATGGCCCGCAGCAGCGACAGCAGTCTCCAGTCAGCCCCGTCCTCTCGAACTCCAGAGCCATTCTCAGGGTCTGTGGGTGCTCAGCACGTGAACCGCCGCCCTCTGCTCTGCCTGCCTAGGTGGACTCTGGCAACAGGAGCAGAGCTCCTAGGAATGGGAGCCTGCCTCCCGAGCCCTGCTGCTGTCCAACTTCTCCATGGTGTGATGAGGCCACACTGCTGGGTGTCGTCCTCAGCCAGCAGGTTTGACCCTGGCTGTGCTGAGGCAGCCACGCACTAGGTTACTGGGGCAGGCTGCCTCCAGCCAGCATGGGGCCTCTCAGTCTCGCCCCAATCTCACACTGCTGACTCTGGTTCTGAGTCCTGCCTCAGCCACCCCTAGTAATTAGGACTCATGGCCTTGCCCAGAAAGGCCCAGCGACAGAGGACAAAGGCAGAGGAACCAGGCTACACAACTGGTTTCTTAAGATGCTTGGGATTTCTACTGTCTGTGCTGGTGGTGGGCCAGCCTGCATAACAGGAACGAAGTAGACCCAGTTGTCCTGCAGGCATCAGAGATCTACCAAGGAGCCGAGGTCATTGCCCCAGGGCTGGGGGTCCAAACGTCAGCACTCAGGAGCCACAGAGGGGACCTTGTTAGCGTCCCCTGTTTCTGTGTGGACTCCTGAAGGCTGACCGAAAGAATAGGCAGGACACACAGGCCAGCCCTCAAGACATGAGCTTGCCTGCCAACCAGCTCAGTCCCAATTGCCTGCCAGAAGCAGGGGTAAACCACAGCCTCAAATGATGTCTGCAGTTCTTGATACACAGTCGCCAGAATTTCAGTCTAGAATTGCCAGAACTGATTCACAGCAAAAACAGGCAATAGAAACCAGACCCATAGAAGATCTATATTGTAGAATTATCAGACACTGACTTTAATAAATATGATTCATATGTACAAGGTATTAAATGGCAATTTTTTAAATCAAATAATTTCACCAAGATAGATCACATTGTAGGCCATAATACAGAGTTTAACAAATTTAAAACAACAGAAATAATACAGTATTTGTATTCAGACCCCAATGGAATTAAACTAGAAATCAGTAACAGAAGGATAACTGGAAAACCCCCATATACTTGCCAGTTAAACAGCACACTTCTGAATCACACATGGGTCAAGGAAGAAATCTCAAGAGAAATTTTTAATTATCTTGAACTAAATAAAAATGAAAAGACAACTTATCAAAACCTATGGGATGCAGTAAAAGCAATACTTAGAGGGAAATTTATATCAGTAAGTGCATATTTTAGAAAAGAAGAAGCATCTAAAATCAACTAGCTAAGCTTTCATGCTTGGAAACTAGAAAAAGATGAGCAAATTAAACCTAAAGTAAGCAGCAGAAAAGATATAAAAATTAGAGTGGAAATCAATGACATTATGAATAGGAAATCAGGGGAAAAAAATCAGTAAAATGGAAAGCTGATCCTTGAAATGATGGATAAAACCAGTAAGCATCTAGCCAGTCTAAGAAAAAGAAAGGAACAAATTACTAATATCAGAAATGAAACAGGAGACATCACTACAGATTCCTTGGACATTTAAAAAGAAAATGCAGGAATACTATGAACAACTCTGTGCACACAAATTTGACAACCTCAGTGAAATAAACCAATTTCTTGAAAGACACAAACTGCCACAATCTGACATATAAGAAGACATAGACTATCTGAATAGGTCTGTATCTATTAAAGAAATTGAATCAATAATTAACAACCTTCCAAAACAGAAAGCCCCAGTCCCACATGGGCGCACTAGTGAATTCTACCAAACATTTATGGAAAATATTATCCCACTTCTCTGTAGACTCTTTCAGAGGACAGAAGCAGAGGGACTACTTCCTAACTCATCTTTGAGTCCAGTGTTACCCTAATATCAAAACAAGACAAACACATTACAAGAAAAGAAAACTACAGACCAGTCTCTCTGGTGACCAGAGATGTAAAAATCTTCAACAGAGTACTAGCAAATCAAATGCAACAGTATGTGAAAAGAATTACACACTGTGAGCAAGTGGGATGTATCCCAGATATGCAAGGCCGCTTCAACATTTGAGAATCAGTGTAATCTATTACATCACTAAGCCAAAGAGGAAGAATCCATGATTGTATCAAAAGATCCGGAAAAAACATTTGGCAAAATCCAACACCCACTTGTGATTAAAAAGCAAAAAACAAAACCCTCTCAGTAAACTAGGAATGGAGGGGAGCTTCCTCAACTTGATAATATCTACAAAAAATTTACAGCTAGCATCTTATTTGGTGGTGAGAAGCTCAAAGCTTTCCCACTAAGATCAGGAGCAAGGCAAGAATTTCCCCTCTGACCTCTGCTTTTCAATATCGTATTGGAAGTCCTTGCTAATGCAATACGAAAAAATAAAACTGGCTTTGTAAATGACATGATCATCTGTGTAGAAAACCCTAAAGAACTGACAAACTTAAAACTAAGTGATTATAGCAAAGTTGCAGGATACAAGCTAAATATACAAAAGTCAATTGCTTTCCTATTTATGAGCAGTGAACAGATGAGATTTGAGATTAGAAACAATATCATTTACATTACTCCTGCCCAAAATGAAATACTTAGGAATAAATCTAACAAAATATGTGCAAAATCTATCTGAGGAAAACTATAAAACCCTGATGAAAGATACCAAAAAAGAACTAAATGGAGAAAGATGTCAGTTCTTCCCAACTTGATCTGTAAATTCTGGGCAATCTCAATCAGAATCCGAGCAAGTTACTCTGTGGATATTGTCAAAGTGATTCTAAAATTTATATGGAGAGGCCAGAACAGCCTCAAGTATCCAAGTAGAACAAAATTGGAGGAATAATACTACCCAATTTCAAGACCTACTATCAAGTTACCATAATCAAGACAGTGTGGCATTGGTTTGAAAACAGAAGACGATGACGACAAAAAGACTAATGGAATAGACTGGGGTGATGACAGATAGACCCCCATAAATGTAGTCAACTGACCTCTGACAGAGGGGTAGAGGCAACACAATGGAGCAAAGATGCTGGAACAACCGGACACCACATGCAAGACAACAAGTCCAGACACAGGCCTGACACCCCACATGGAAATTAACTCAAAGTGGACCACAGACCTAAACGTGAAACACAAAACTAACTCCTAAAAGGTAACAGATGAGAAAGCCTAGATGACCTCGGGTTTGGCAGTGACTCTTTAGGTAAAACACCAAAGGCATAACCCATGAAAAATCATTGATAAGCTGGACTTCATTAAAATTAAAAAATTGTGCTCTGCAAAAAACAGTGTCAAGGAAAGGAGAAGACAAGCCACAGACTGGGAGCAAATATTTGCAAAAGGCACATTTGGTGAAGGACTGTTGTCCGGAATATACAAAGAACTCTTAAAACTCAACAGCAAGAAAACCACCTGATTTTAAAGTGGGCCAAAGAGCTAAACAGGCACCTGACCAGAGAGCACCTACAGATGGCAGGTGAGCCTGTGAGAGACACTCCACGTTGTTCGTCACCAGGGAAACGCAAGGTAACGCAACACTGAGGCCCCACTGCGCAACTGTTAGAGCGGCCGGAATCCAGGCGCTGACAGCGCCAAGTGCTGGGGACGACGTGGAGCCACGGGAACTCTCGTTCGTTGCTGGGAGCTGTTGAATGCAGAACGGTGCAGCCGCTTTTATAGACAGTGTGGCAGTTGCTTATAAAACCAATTATACTCTAAGGATTCAGCAGTCGTGCTCCTCAGCATTTACCCAAGGAGCTGAGCACTTAACATCCACACAGAAACCTGCACACAGATGTTTAGAGCAGCTTGATTCGTAATTGCCAAGACTCAGAAGCAACCAAGATGTCTTTAGTAGGTAAATGGACGAATAACCTGTGATCCATCCAGATAATGGAATGTTACTCTGCTAAACAGAAATGAACTATCAAGACACAAAAAGGCATAGAGGAACCGTAAGTGCATGTCACTAAACGAAAGAAGGCCATCTGAAAAGGCTACATCCTGTGTGATTCCGTCATTCCATCTCTGTGACACTGTGGGGTTGTACAGGATGTAGCCTTTTCAGATTGGCCTCTTTGGAGACAGTCAGAAAGATCAGTGGTTGCCAAGGTTAAGGCAGGGAGGCTGGGATGAACAGACAGAGCACAGGGGTTTAGGGCCATGAAAGTGTTCCATATGACACTATAATGGTGGATACATGTCATACGTTTGTCCATACCCATAGAATGTACAACACTGAGTGAATCCTAATGTAAACTCAGAACTTGGGTTGGTTATGAAGTGTCAGTGTAGGTCCATCAGTTGCAGCACGTGTGCCAGCGTGAGATGCTAGTAACTGGGGTGTGAGCTGGAGCAGGAGTTACATAGGAAACCTCTGTGCTTTCTGCTGTTTTGCTGTGAACCTAAAAGTGCTCTTAAAAAAAAAAAGAATTAAATAGATATTCTAGAACTGAAAAATATAACAAAAAATAACTCAATATATGGATGTAAAAGTAGTTTAAACATAGCTAAACAGAAAATAAATTGGAAGTCAGAACAGAGGAAGACACCTACTGCGTGGAGATGCCAGGGATAGAAAGTACGCAATGCAGGCTGGAGCCTTGTGGCCCACGGCGAGGAGGACTGTGGGTGACCTCCAGAAGAGGGGAGAGGAAATGGGGTGGAAGTGATGTCTGAAAGGTAGCCATCAGGGGTTTCTAGCAGTTGTGAAGGGTGCCACGCTGCAGACTGAGGAAGTGCTGTGAGTCCCAAACACTAGAGCACGTGTTCTGAATACTGAGTATAAAAAGAAAGTCCTCAAGGCAGCCAGAAGTCTCTTGAGGGGAGAGCAGGTAGCAGAGGTGGGCCCCACTCATCTCTCCTGGACTCCTGGTCCAGCGCCTAGCATGGCAGGGGCAGCTGTGGGACACGGAGTGTGTTGTCAAGTCTGTGTAACCCCACGGGCAGTGTCACCCATGTTGTCACCAAGCAAGTGAAGCTCAGAAGAGGCTGCAAGTCCAGAGTGGCCCCCCTGCCTGGGCTGGAGGGCCAGGATTTGGGGCCTCAACCCCCAGGGTACCTGATGCAGGCTTTCCCGGGCCCTGGGGACAGTTTTATTGTCTCTGGGTACAGAGTGCTGTCCGGGTGCTGGCATAGCCACAGGACCGCAGTCAGCTTTTTTGGAGCTCACAGGAGCCTCTGTGTTTGAAACATGGCCTGAAATGCTATTGCACAGGGGTGTGTGGGCCACCGCCTGTGCAAGGACATGGGCAGGTGTGAGCCCTGGAGTAAGCCTACCAGAAGTACACTTACCGAATCCAAAACCCGAGAGGCCTCTGTGAGGCACCCCCTTCCTGGCTGTTCCTTACAGAGATGGTTCTGGGCTGGTTCAGAGACACATTCAGAGGCCCTTGCAGGGAGTGTCACCATGGGCAGTGGCTGGGGATCTGGGGGAAGCTCCTGGGGCAGGACAGCCCCCCGTGGCAGGGGGCAGGCTGCAGCACTGACTTGGGAAATGTGTGAGGGGAGCTCCGAGGACAGAAGGGCAGCTGCCCCAGGCTGCACTGACCAGGGGTCAGGGCCTCAGCAATGAAAGGTGCACAGCTGATTACAGGGAGCCCTGGCAGGTACCAGGCCCCCACAACCTGCAGCCCCATTGTGGGTAAGGACAGTGAGAAATAACCAGGACTTCTCGTCCCTAACTTCAGATATCCATGAGGTCTAGGTGGGTGGGTAATGGGTCCCGGCTGACAGCAGGGCCAGATTTCCACCTCCCCCTGGTAACCCGTCCCCACTAGGACTTCCCCTAGGTAACCTGTCATCCCCCACCCCCCACCCCCGGTAACCTGCCCCCCAGACGCCCTTGGGTAACCTGTTTTCCCCAAGGACCTCCCCCATGTGACCTGTCCCCCAGACCCCCCTGGGTAACCTGTGCTACATCACCCTCTCCAGGACCTCCTCACTGCGCTGGAACTCGGGCACCAAGGAGCGCATGCTCATCAAAGTTGCCGACAGGGAGCCCAGCTTCCTCTCCCCGCAGGGCAATGGCTACCCGCTGGACAGCCAGCCTGGTGGGCGCTCCCGCAGACCCTCTGGGGGCCAGCACTCACCCAGCCTGCAGGCACTCACCCCTGATGCGGACAGCCCTGTCTTCTTCTCTGAGCGGAGGCCCTCGCCCTTCCTGAAGAGGGCAGAGCTGGGGAGCTGCTCCCCTCTGCTGGCCCAGCCCCGCAAGCCCGCTGGTGACTCGCAGCCCTCCTCCCCGCGCTATGCCTATGAGCCCCCCCTCTACGAGGAGCCCCCTGTGGAGTACCAGGCCCCCCTCTACGACGAGCCACCGATGGACGTGCAGTACGAGGCCGGTGGGGGCTACCAGGCCAACTCTCCCCAGCGGTCTCCTGGCCGCAAGCCCCCCAAGCAGGCCTCCGCCTCGCCCTACCAGCAGCTGGTGCTCACCAGGCAGAAGTGCCCTGAGCGCTACCTGAGCCTGGAGTACAGCCCAGCGGGCAAGGAGTACGTGCGGCAGCTGGTGTACGTGGAGCAGGCTGGCTCCAGCCCTAAGCTGCGCATGGGCCCACGGCACAAGTACGCACCCAACCCTGGCAGCGGCTCACTCTCCCTGCAACCTAGCCCTTGCCTGTTGCGGGACCAGCGCCTGGGGGTCACGTCCGGGGACTACAGCAGCATGGAGGGGCCCGAGCTGCGGCACGCCCAATCGCCCTTGCCTCTGCCCCAGCCCCAGGATGATGCCATGTCCTGGTCCAGCCAGCAGGACACCATGTCCTCGACAGGCTACTCCCCTACCACACGCAAGAGAAAGAGCAGGAACCCCTCCCTGTGCCATGCCCCCAGCGCTTCATCCACCGAAGGCCCTGGGGACCGCGACCTGCTCGGCGAGCAGCCCCTGACAGAGGAGCGGCCCCTGTGCGGGCCCAGCCTGGCCCCCACAAAGCGCACAGACGGCAAGGCGGGTGAGGCAGACGGGCCCCGGGGCATGACTGAGCCCTTCCTGGCGCAGGCCCGGCTGGCCTGGGAGGCACAGCAGGCCCACTTGCACATGAAGCAGAGGGGCAGCTGGGACTCCCAACAGGATGGCTCGGGTTATGAGAGCGACGGGGCCGTGCCGCTGCCCATGCCTGGGCCCGTGGTGCGCGCCTTCAGCGAGGACGAGGCGCTAGCCCAGCAGGACAGCAAGCACTGGCAGAGGGGCGCCTTGGACAGGCTTGCCTTCCCCCAGGTCCTGCTGGAGAAGAGCGTCTCTGTGCAGACCAGCCTGGCCTCCCCAGAGCCCTACCTCCACCCTTCACAGGTAGGGGCGCAGCCCTGGGTGGGTCCCCGGGCCGGGGTGGGGCAGGCGGTGGGCCCACTGTGTGGTGCATCCTCACAGTTGCTGGCAGGCGTGAGGGCAGACAGTGAATGCCCCCGAGGCCTCCACCAGCATGGGGTCTCTATACCTCCGCTCCTCATGAGGCCCGGCCAGTGCTGCCGAGCCGCCAGGGGCCAGGGGCCATGTCCTGATTCCAGGCCACAGAGGCAGGGAGACGGGCGGGCAGCCACCCACCCACTGAGCCCTGAGCCTCTGTTCTCCGGCCTGTGAACAGGCCCTCAGGTGAGGAGCTGTACAGGGATGGCTCAGGGCCCTTCCAGAGGGTGGCTCCCACATGGAGGGATGTCGGACATCTGGCCCTGTGGCCAGGACACACTCAGCAGGCCCCAGATGGCTCTTAGGACCCCGGGCTGCAGCTGGAACCAAAGCAGAAGGCTAGCCTGATGTGTCCTCCCTGTTCAGTGCCAGGCGTAGACATCTGTCCAGCCCTCAGAACCTGTGTGCATTTTCCGCCAAGTCGAGTGCACGGAGTACAGTGCCAGGGCTTGGTGTGGATCAGTGTCCTGGTCCCCATCTCCGGATGCCTGGCGGTCTGCTACTGAAGCCAAGGCTGAGTGTCTGTCCTGGCAACTGCCCAGAGCAGGCAGTTGCAAGAAGTTCTCCCGGATCAGGCTTCTCATGTCCACCCCCATCCCTGCTGGGGAAGATGTGCCCCCCCGCCCCAGGCTGGAGTGCTCAGAGCAGCATTTGTGTCTGTGGCTCGTAACACAGGAGGACAATGAGACAGACTGGAAGGGGAGGTGGGGGGTGGGAGCACTTGATCTGGACAGAGGGACATGTGGGCACCAAGGGCCTGTCCGACATCCATACCTGGCGCTGCCCAGGGAGGTTGCCTTCCCTGCTCCCAAGACCGAGGATTAGAGGGGCAGGTGCACTGAGGCCATTTGGGAGGTGGGGAGGGGGCCTGGAACAACCCCTTCCTTTCCTAGCATTGTGGGAGGGGAGGGCCCCGGCCCACGGCCCCTCCCAGGCCTGGCCCTGCCTGTGCACAGCATCACTCTGCCCATGACCCCAGATGGATGTCTTCACTGGGGAGAGAGGGGGGTCCCAGCAGGGACGGCAGGTGGTTTTGTGATCCAAGACACTGTCAGACGTTGACTTGGGGTTTCTTTGTGGGGCTGCCCTTTTCATCAGGCCGGTAAGAAGCGGTGCCCTGCCCCCCCCAACCCATGGGGTCTGGGCTCCCAGCCTGTGGAGGGCCGTGTGAGCTCCGGGATGCAGCATCTACCAGCACTTTCCCACCTGGGGCTACAGCAGCCCAAGAGGCCGAGGAAACACACGTGTGGCTTCCTCCCACCCCCAGACCCTTGCTGGACCAGGGAGAGCACCTCCTGGAGGTCAAGCCCCCCAGGGTACAGTTGGAAGAAGGGCCCCTCTGGGTCCTCGTCCCAGGCCCCACCAGGCAGCAGGACGAGATGAGTCACAGAGCTGGAAGCCCAGGCCCGGCCCTGCCCCCTGCTGCCCAGCAAGGGCCTCTGTGCCATCAGGCCACTGACACCCATCCCGCCCCACCCCAGGCCTCACTCCTCCAGAAGCCTCAGGGCCAGAATGGGAGGTCACACCTCTCACCTGGTGGGTCAGGTGGGCCCCCCATTCACGGCCCCCCTGTGCTCCCCAGTCTGAGGACCTTGGCACCTGTGCCCAGTTCGAGAGCAGCCGGCCGGCCCGCAGCATGATGCCCAGCGCCAGCTGCGTGTTCCCCACCTTCACACTGCGCAAGCCATCCTCGGAGACTGACATCGAGAATTGGGCCTCCAAGCACTTCAACAAGCACACGCAGGGCCTCTTCCGTCGAAAGGTGTCCATCGCCAACATGCTGGCCTGGAGCAGTGAGTCCATCAAGAAGCCCATGATCGTGACCAATGACCGCCACGTGAAGAAGGAGGCCTGTGAGGTCTTCAAGCTCATCCAGATGTATATGGGTGACCGGCGTGCCAAGGCAGACCCACTGCACGTGGCCCTGGAGGTCGCCACCAAGGGCTGGAGTGTGCAGGGCCTGCGGGACGAGCTGTACATCCAGCTGTGCCGGCAGACCACCGAGAACTTCCGCCTGGAGAGCCTGGCCCGCGGCTGGGAGCTCATGGCCATCTGCCTGGCCTTCTTCCCACCCACACCCAAGTTCCACTCCTACCTGGAGGGCTACATCTATCGGCACATGGACCCCGTCAACGACACCAGAGGTAAGGCCCAGCATAGGCCCTGGGCGTCCCGGGCTCTGCAGCAGCTCAGGGGAGGGCTGCGGTGGGAACCTCCTGCATGTGCTGGGTGGCACCTGGCCGCAACAGGGACACAAAAGCAAACACAGCCTCTCCAAGCAGACGCCTGTCCCCTGAGAGCTATGTCCTGGGTCTCCAACGGGGTTTGGGGTCAGGAAGCCCCTTCTCGGTCCGGAGGCCCCAAGAAGAGCCGTGGGCAGTCCTGGCAGGGTCCCTAGCCAGAGGCTGACAGGTGGGGGTTTGCATGAGGACCCATGGCACCCATGGTCTCTGCCAGCCAACATCCACTCTGTTCTGAGGCCACCATCCTGTGGTCACCCTGCCTGATGAGAGCAGGGAGGCCAGTCGGCCCGTGTGCACTTATGCGTTTGCTCTCAGTTGTCTAATGCCTTGGAGAGTGAGCACTCCAGCCAGGCTCAGGTTGTCTCTAGTGGCTGATGAGAGCAGGGAGGAACATGGGCACATTGGCAGGCAGCTGGGGTGCTGTGCTATGGGCTGAGCTGGCTGTAAGCTGCCTCGAGGGTTCAGCGGTTGGGACTGTCACAGGTAGCCACCTGCTGATGGCTACCTGGGGCTGAGTGCAGGGCCATATCTGCCTGGGGCACGGGTCTGTCTGGGCCCAAGCCCAGCATGCTCAGGGGAGGATCCTGGGGCTTGGTCCTGCCAGCCAGGTGGTGCCTGTGCAGCTGCCCTGGGGCCTGACCTGTGTCCTGGGCTGGGCAAAGTAAGCATGGGGACAGGGCTGTAGGCAGCACCTGTAAGTACAGTGGGCCATCTGTCACCCCAATTTTCGTCAGTGTCCACAGGGCACAGCCACAGCACCAGTGTCTCCACGTGTGCACCCACACTCACGTGCTCACACACAGCCTGCAGGTCAGACGTGCTAGCCCACTCTGTGGGAGTGGTTGTCCTGCTGGTTTGGCCAGGGCCTTGCCCCAGCCCAGGTGTGGGGGCCGAGGCGTGTGCACAGTGGGGCTGCAGGGCAATGGTAGGTCCTGGGAAGGTGCATCATAATAGGTGCCATCCAGCAAGGCAGCCATTTGGGGCAGATCTTGGAAGCTGTGAGACTTTTGCCCAGGCCTGCAGTTTTTGAAGCAGGACCACTGAACACAGCAAGCAGGTCTCCCCAGGTGGGTCTCCACCACATGCAGACCAGCAGCCTGGCGGGCGGGATGGATCTGCCTCTGTCTTCTTGGACCTTTCCAGGAGCAGGTGGGTCCCCACTGGCTCCGTGGTTCACCTCAGCCTCTTCGAAAGGCCTTGAAACATCACTGTCATGAGCACACAGCCCTCGGGGCCTCAGGAGTACTTGCTGAGTGAAAGGTGAGTGTGCGGTGGACAAAGGGCACTGGGCACCCCTGCGCTGGCCTGGGCTTTCGTGGGGAGCTGGTCACTGGCCCAGAGGTTTGTGCTCCTTCATACTAGTGTCTGTGCTGTGGAAGCCAGACTGCCGTGTAAGAGGCAATCGAGGGTCAGCTTGGGCAGCCATAGTTTTGAGACCTAGGTGGTCTCAGAGCGCTGTATGGTCTCTGCCCACGGACCATGCTAGATCTGTGTGGTCCTGCATTTGGGCTGTGGGATCTGGTCTCACGTATATGGCACAGGGGTGCCCTCCAGCCAAAGCCCTGTGTCCAGCCACAAGATTCACTCCTGGGTCAGCATCCACTGCCAGGCCCTGCTCATCACTGAGCTCAGGGGCGAGGCCTCATGCTTCCTCCCACTGGCCCCTGTCAAGAAGGTGCGTGCTGGCCGCTGGGCAGGAAGGCATGCCCCATCAGCACAGAAGGACGTATCCTGTGCTTAGAAAAAGGTAACTGCAGTCTTTCTTGGAAGCACCAGTGAGGGCAGAGCTGAACCTCACCCTGAACCACGCTGCCTGCCTTGGACTCAGAGCGTTTGATTCAGCTGCCAGCAAGTGTGTGACCTCTGCTGTGGTTACCACCCCAAGGGACCAAGGGACCAAACAGTGAACGCCAGTTCACATGACCCCCAGCCCCCGGCTTAGCCTTGGCTCACACGTGGTCACACCTTTGTGCCAGCCACCAGCAGGTGACTTCCCACCTTGTCTCCCCTGGACCTCTCAGGGGAGAGGCTCTCAACACAGGCATCGCAGGCATTGGCAGTGGATACAGCAGCCTGCAGCTCCCCACTCTGCCCGCAAGAAGCACGCTGGAAGGCTGCAGGCCCCGAGGGGTGGTCACTGCTTGTGCCTTCATGCATTCAGTACAACACTGGCTCCCAGGTAAAAGATTGTAGGCTGAACACAGTCATCGGTTTGGACTCCACCTTGAAGTCATGATAAAAGAACAGTGAAGGAAATTTTTGAAGACCAAAAAAACCCTCACAAGGAAATGTAAAATGATGCAGCCACTATGGAAAAAAGAATGGCAGTTCCTCAAAAAATTGAAATAGAATTAACATAGGATCCAGCAGTTCCATTTCTGGGTGTATGCCCAAAATAATTGAAAGAAAGATATGAACAGATATTTCTGCACTCATGTTCATAGTAGCAGATCCACAATAGCAGAGATGTGGAAAGCAGCCCAGGTGTCCACTGACAGATGAGTAGACAGATAAAATGTGGTTTGTACATACAATGGAATATTATTCAACCTAAAAAAGGAAGGAAATTCTGGCACAGGCTATAACATAGATGAACCTCGATAGATTTCATTTGTGCTGAGTGGAATAAGCTAGATACAAATCTACTCATGTGAGGTCCCTACAGCAGTCAAGTTCATAGAGACAGAATGGTAGGTGCAGTAGGTTAGGGGGAGGGAGAAACGGAGAGTTGTTGTGTGATGTGTATGGAATTTCCACTTGGGAAGATGACAAAGTTCTGGAGATGGATGGATGGTGAATGTATGTAATACCACTCAACTGTACAACTAAAAACGGTTAAGATGGAAAATTCTATGTGTATTATATTACAATAAAAATACTGAAATCCACCAGGACAAAGAGAATGGAAGAGGAAGAACAACCATTTTGGAGAAGCTGAAAAGCACATGGACAAGTGGCTGGAAACTAACTTGGCAGACCCAGAAAGGTGGATCCCAAGCAGGTGGTGGGGAAGCTGAGAAGCTGAAGCAGGTAGCACACCCTGAAAAGCTCAGCAGTGTTTTTAGCCAGCCTCCTCCAGCAGTGGTATGGAAGGGGGTGACCATGGAGCTGAAAACAAAAGGACTAGTTGAAATTCTCTTTAAGAAACAAAGCAGCTACGGTGGAGTAGGCAAAATGAGACTCTGGACCCAGAGCATCTGGACTGAAATCTCAGCCACATTTTCCAGATAGGCCATATTCTGAGCCATGAAACAAGTCTCAATAAATGTTAAAGGCTGTGACTCACAGAAAGTATGTTCTCTAACCACAATGGAGTTAAACTGGCAACCAGCAACACAAAGATACCTAAAAAATCCCCAAGTATTTGGAAACAGAAGAACATACTACTGAATAATCCATGGGTCAAATAAAAATCAAAAGGGAAGTTAGAAAGTATTTTGAACTGAAAAAAAAAATGAAGCATATTAAAATTTGTAGGGTACAGCCAAAGCAGTTCTTAGAGGAAAATTTATAGTACCTAAACGTCTGTACTAGGAAATAAGATCTCAAATCAATGTCTTCTCCCCCTACTTTAAGAAACTTAAAAAAAAAAGAGGAAATTATACCAAATGTAAGCAGAAGAAAGGGAATAATGAAGATGAGTAGAAATCAATGAAAGAGAAAATAGGAAAAAACAATGCAGAAATTCAGTGAAACAAAAAGTGTATTATTTGAGAAGAGCAATGAAATTAATAAACCTCCAGCCAGACTAATCAGGAGAAAGAGAGAGTAGATATAAATTGCCAGTGTCAAGAATGGGAGATGATATCACTACAGATTCAACAGATGTTAAAAGGATAATAAGGAAATATTATGAACAACATTATGTCAGTAAATTTGACAATTTAGAGGAAATGGACAAACTCCTTGAAAGACACAAACTACTAAAGGTCCCTCAATAAGAAATAGACAACCAGAAAAATCATAAATTTATTAAATAAATTATATTGATACTTTAAAGCTTTCTCACAAAGAAAATTCCAGGTCCAAGTTGCTTCGCTAGTGAATTCTACCAAACATTTCATTGTGTAGCAATTTTTTACAAACTCAGAAAATTTAAGTGGAGGGAATATTTCTCAATTCATTCTGTATCAAAATTAGAAAAGAACATTGCCAGAAACTTTTTTTAAAATACAGGCAGTATCCCTCAGAAACACAGGGCAAAAATTGACAGTATTTTAGCAAATTGAATTCAACAAAATATAAAAAGGATAATGCATCTTGAATAAGTGGGGTTTATCTGAGGAGTGAAAAATTGGTTTAACATTCAAAAATCAACCAATAACAGAGTGAAAAAGAAAAAATATAATCATCTCAGTAAGTCATTTCACAAAATCCAACTTTCCATTCCTGATAAAAGCTCTAAACTGGAAGAGATGGGAGCCTCTTCAGCCTAGTATGCACATTTCTCTTTCCTTGCTCCGTCAGCCGAGGGCCTAGAAGCAATGACACCCCAATAGCAGTGAGCACACCTGACCCCAGATCTTGGTTTCTAATTCCATTTTACATTCAGAAGAACCAGAGCTCTTTGGAGAAACAGCTAATTCTAGGGCTGGGGCAGGGAATGTACAAGATGTAATGCCAAGTGAGGAAGTGCTGGAGGGACGAGGGGAGACCATGGGATGTGTCCGGGACACAGAGCTTCCAGGGGCTAAACCTGGAGCACCTTGAGCAACAGAATAAAGTCGTATTGGATTATAACCCACAGTGTAGGATGAATGTCCCAAGCCCATACTGATGTGAATGACTGGATACAGATTTTTCATGCATAAAAATGACAATTTATGTAGATAAGAGGGCCCACCATCAAGTAGGGGAGTGTGACACCCACTTGGCTGTGCACCTCGACTTCTTATGAGAGCATGGGATGGTGGTGTGGGGGGTCCTCATCGGCAGTGCCGAGTTATTTTGTGCAGAGTGGGAGGCGCCCAGATCAGCCTGAGAGGAGAGCCAGGCCCCTCCTGTCTTGCTCAGTGCCTCCAGCACCAGCTCCACAGCTCGCCCCAGGAGTGCAGCCATGGAGGGCCTGGACGGCTGGGCTGGGGCCTCCTCGAGGGACTCCACACCCCTGGCTTTCTGCCAGCCAGAAGGCTGTGAGCTGACCACCCC